CTTGGGCTACCAGGTGGGGTGCAGGTTAAAATGCTGGACCCCACATGGCTGACTGTGCGGTTCGAGTCTCAGACTCAGCAACTTAAAAATCATTCCCAGTGCAGGGGTCAGCAGATGGTATAGCAGTTAAGTTGTTGGACCATCACATGGCCAAATGCAGTTCGAGTCCCAGACTGGGAGGCTTGAAACTCAAGCCAGGTGCATGTGTGTATGTGCGTGTCTCTGTCTCTCTGGTGAGCGCATGCACCATGTAGCAAAGATCTCTCTTAGAAACAAAACAAAACAAAACAGCCCTCCTCTCAAAAAAATGAAAAAACAAAAAACCAGTGGGTCCAGTGGAGACCACTCAGCAAGAATGCACTACCACGGTTCACATAACGTAGACGAATTCCAAAGGCATTTTGCTATGAGAAAGCAGCTCACCGCAAAGGGCTGCACACTCTACACCTCCATCTCTATGACATTCTGAGAAAGACAAAATTGTAGGGACAGAAAACAGGTTGGTGGCTGTCCAAGGTGGGGGGAAGAACTGACTAAAAGGACACAAGTTGAGGAGTGGGGGCAGAATGGTTCTATGCTTCGATTTGTTCACATTGATTGTGCTACATTTCATTTTTTTAATTGCTAAAGGGAGCACATGTTCACCCAAGAGAGGCAGTGAGAGAGACAGAGAGAGAGAGAGAGAGAGAGAGAGATGGACGAAGTATCCTACCATGGGGCACTTAGGTCACAATCTCTTCTCCTCCATTGCTCAATCCCGTCAGGACTATGAGCATGCACATGCATGCGCTTCACATGTTTTTCAAGCCACACAGTTAGCCACGTGGCATTTGGCTACCAAATCACTAGGCCTTGGAGCAAACTTGATACGGATGTATTTTAAAAGGGTGAATTGCATCATTTCTGAATTATGCTCCAATACACTTGACCTTTTTAAAAATTAGGTTTTTGTCTCTCAGATGCGTCCTCTGGGAAGGCAGGTGTGCCTGGTCCTGTGTGAGCTGTCACTCGGCTGGGTGCCCACAACACATGTGCTCTCACATCCCAACCACCCCACCAGTCACATGCAGTGTAGGGCACCCAGGTATTTCGTCAGGAAGGGTTTGGACATGCGAATTAGGGGCTGACAGAAGCCCTGAGAAGAGTAAAGGGACAAAAGTCATGAATCCCTTAGCATTCTGAATTCAAGGACACGCCGTTGAAGGTAGCCATCGTCCAGAAGTTAGCTGGCTACCTTCTCACACCCAGGCAGGCGGCATGGCGACCCTAGAATGGTGAGGCTGGCCATCGCCACGACCTGAGACACTCCGATCTCCCAGCCCCTGGCTGCCAGCAACACCAGCAGAAGGAACGTCATCTTCTAGACTCCCACAAATGCATTTCTCTACTATGTGTCTTTCTTAAAACCCAGCTGTGAGAAAGTCTGGGACACAGAAAGTTGGATTTCCAAACTCTCCAATCAGGAGAGTGAAATGAAGGTCCAGAGTCAGCCCACAGGACCTATCCCACTCCCATCCTTCCTATCCTAAAAGGAGGTACTCTTCACAGAAGAAAGCATCACAAAGCCTTTCTCTATGTCAATGTACATCTGAAATGGTGTTAGAGAGTTGAAAAATGGTTCTACTAATGGGTGGAACAAAGATCTAACGCGTCTCATTATGGAGGGATATTTCATTTCCACATTCAGTTAGTTCTGGCCCAGCAGAATGAAATTTTAAGATCCCTGCATTTGATAACACAGCCAACCACAGTTCCCTTCTAACTCACGTATTAAATACACACGGCTCTTCAAGCTTCCATTCTGCTGGGAATTAAACAGACTAAGTATGAAAATCCATTAGTTTCCCACATGTAAGTTCTTCTATGATGAACCAAAAGCAGTGAGCGGGAGGTACGCTTTATACCCTAATTATTTCCCCAACAACCAAACATAATCAAAATAAAAAACCCGAATAGTTTACACAGGTAAAGTACCACAGTAACTACAATTCTTAGTTCCCCAATGATTGCTCACACAAGTAACAATATTGAAGAAACCTTCTCCTAAGGACATTTTTATTTTTTAATTTTTTTATTTTTTAGATTTTTGCCATAGGATACATATACTCGCTGGAGAGAGACAGTGAGAGAGGGAAAGTAAATCACCCGTCTTCACCTCCGGGAGGACGGCCATGCTGTACTGTCTCCTCCTGTCTCCTCTCAAGGTTTTCGGCATGCACACACATCCAGCGTATTTTTCAAGCCACCAGGTCTGAGACTTGAACTGCACACAGTCAGGCATGTGGGACCCAGAACTTTAAACACCACGCCACATACTAGCCCTCTCCTAAGGACATTTTAGCCTTTCAGGATTTCACTTCACTCCCTGGGTTATTTCTCCAAACTGCACAGAGGAAGACAATGGAAACGTATTTCCCTTTTTTTTTTTTTTTTTTAGAGGTTTTTGCCATAGGGCATATGTGCTCACTGGAGAGAGAGAGGGAAAGTAAGAAATCACTCCCAGGGAGGACGACACCCATAGTCCGTTCTCCTCCATTTTCCTCCTAGAATTTTGAGCATATGCAAACACTTGTTCAGTGTGATTTCCAAACTGCCATGCCTGGGACTCGAACCGTGGCCTGCTATGTGGGAGTCTAGCACCTTAACCACCATGCCGCCTGCTGGCCCCACATTTTCCTTTTACTGACAGCAAAACTATTGGGTGGCTATTGCTGGATTCTTCAACAAATTAAGACAAAAAAAGGTGACAAAGTACATTGGTCTAAAATGAAAAATAGTATCCAACCAACACTAGCTGTTTGAGTTGTGAGAATCACCCACCAGAGCTGTTGCTGGAAAAAAAAAGAATGAGGGGGAATATTTGCCAAAAACTCGAATTCTCTCTTCTCGGAAAATCGTCGAAACACTGTCCTACCCCATAAGTCTCTCAATGCTCTGAGAAATCATCAGATAGTATCTACCATTGCTCTAACAAAAGCTTTAAGGGCCAAAATGACATCCAGAAATTAATGATTGTTCCTGACTTAATGGAAGAAGCTCTGCCTAGTTCTTCTCCTTCAGGGTACTTTGAAAAAGTTGAACTTGAAACTAGCTATTTCTCATGAATAGCTATATACTATCTCCTGCCAGTGGTACTGAGGGGTGAAGCAGAGGGGGGTAACAATGTTATGGAAAAACCGTATGCCTGGCCTTTCAAACGTCAGGGGCCAGAGGAAGCACCTACCAGGGAAAAGCAGAAAAAAATGCTAAAAAAGGACTCATGAAGTAAGAAATATCCCCAGGAATAAATTAGTAGGTTTATTAGGTTATAGCTGCTGTTCAGTTTGCCTAAGAATGCTGCTGGGAATGAGATCTAAAAAATGGTTACTAAAAATCTAATAACTCACTTCTCTGTGCGTCTAATTTCCCTCTAGAGCAAGACTTTAACTATGTTCATTATGGTGAACCCCCAAAGGTTCTTTGCTAAGAGAAAGAAGGATATTGTACTTTTTTTTTTTTTTTTTGCTCTTTAGCAGCTAGGCACCCCATCTTCAAATGCCAACCCAGCCCATCTCCCAGACGGGCAATGTGAGAGCAGGCTCCTCCCATTCGCACAGTTGCCAACTTACCTTCCGATTCACTCACACACCAGCTGTGTGTTTTCGTAGCCTGCAACTCCGTGTACAGACAGAGGCTGAACACCTGACAAAATTCCACATCCCCTACCCGCTTCACGCTGCTAAGACACCTTAAAGAAGCTAATAACAGGGGGCCAGCAGGTGGTGTGGTGGCTAAGGGTGCTGGACTCCCACATGGCCAATCAAGGTTCGAGTCTCGGACCTGGTGACTTGCCCTCTCTGTCTCTCTCTGGTCAAAATTGAAAAAGAAAGATAATAAAGAAATAATTCTTTACAAAAAAAAAAAAAAAAAGAAGAAGAAGAAAAAGAAAAAGCTAATGACGTTATTTGTAGGCAGAGCAATGCTACCTTTTAAAGAGCTATGCTCCTAAGTTAATGAATAAAATAATCTTATGCTTAGAGAAAAACGTCAATGGATAACCAAGCCCATTCGATTGGAGAAGCTGTCTTGAGGCATTCCACCTTACAAGATAGGTCTGGTGAGTGTTCTGTTGGCAGGAAACATCATGATGTATTCTTTTTTCTATGTTGTTCTATGCCAAAACGCGTCATGACTTTTCTGACAACTCAATCCAGTTTTCAGGCTAAAATGACTTCCAGTGAAATTAAGAACACCCTCTAACCCACAGTTAAAGTTAAGTCTCAGCTCGGTTCAAGAGACCACATCAAGAGAACGTGGGCGTCAAAAGAAAAACAAAAATTCACTCATGACATTAAGCAAAATTGACAAAAGGAAACGTTGCATCTGGCTCCCTTTCCACTGTCACTTAGACAGGGTCAGGAGAGCCCAGCGGGAGGGCAGACAGGCCGTGAAGCCTGAGGGAGCTCATCGGTTGTCAAGATCTGCAAGGGTTGCTCCTCCTTGACGGGGTAGGACGGCCATCCTCTGCAGCCTGAACCGAGCTGCAGCCCAGCACCTGCAAGAGGCTGGGCCGCTGCCCCACACACCCTGGCCTGGGTCAGCAGCATGCAGAGTCGTGCACGTGAGGCAGGAGCTGGTCTCAGCACAGACCATGAGAACAAGCCATTCATCAGGGGAGCGACATCATATGTTGTAACTGCTCCCTTCAGGTCAACAGGCACCATCGCACAGGGTCTGTTAGAATTTCTCTCCCTTGGGGAGTTCAAGCAACTCCCATGTCAATGCAAATAGGAGATTTCTCATCCGTAGGATTGCAATTCGCCCACGGCAGCTGCCAAACACAAGAAAAGAGAAGTGGCAGGCATGCATGGAGCCGATTTTGTCTCTGCGGGCAATTCTTCCATTTTAGAATTTGTTTCCTCTTAAAGAGACGAGCAAGTTACAAATATAATTATGGTATTTCTGAACAAGCGATAACACCAGCCATGGATGCGCTGACGGAGGACTAACTGCTGGCTTACCTCTGGCTCTGGCTGTAAGGTCTGTTCATCTTCGGCGGAGTTGGGTAAAATTGCCCAGGGTATGTTGGCACTGGCTGAGGGCAAAGAGCCAAGTGTCCCATTTTTCAGCTGCTCTGTGGAATGTGACTTGGGCCCGTGCCATCCCAGGATGTTCTCTGAAATAAAGACCTAGAATGATGCCAAGTCTTTTCTAAATGAAACATTCATAGCTCAAGAAATATCTGGACCTCAATGACCGTGACGACACCTACAGAAAACGGGCCCGGTGGGATACCCGGCAGGGCTGGACTGGAATGGCGTACCAAGTACAGATTCTCATTATTCACATCTGCACAGCCTTCTGTATAATATCAGAATCAGAACCCACACAGGTTGCTTTTCTCCTCAACCTTGGACAAAAAACAACTCCTATTGTACCAAAGTCAGATAAAAGTGTTTTTCTTACTATTTTTTTAACCTTCAACAAATATTTTTAGGGCCATCCCCGGGAGCCCGTCTACTATGGTTTGAATCCTGGCCCTGGAGGCTTGAAAAACACACCACGCGTGTGTGTGTGCATGTTCAAAGTCCAAACCAATACTAGCTGTTTGAGTTAGGAGCATCACGCACGCTAGGCTTGAAAAACACAGCAGGCATGTGTGTATGCATGCCCCAAATCCCAAGAGGATGAAAAAAATGGAGAAGGGATTGCAATGTGACTATGCCCCATGAGGGGATGTATTCTCCCCTTCTTATCTGTTTTTCTCTTGTGAGCACATGTGCCCTCGTTCAATTAAAACACTGGGTTGCTGGAAAAATCATGACACGTTTTTGCATAGAAAAACAAAGAAAAATACATTATGATTTTTCTGATAACCCAATAATAAATAAATATTTACAATCAAAATCAAAATCAGGGACCAGTAAGTGGTGTGGAAGCTAAGGTGGCTGGGTCCCACATGGCCAATCCCACAGTTCAAGTCCTAGAACTGATGGTTCGAAAATCATTCTGGCGCATGTACGTATGTGCATGCCCAAAATCCCAAGGAGAAAGGAGGAGAAAGGATTGTGGTATGGCCATTCCTCCTGCTGGGTGATTTCTCATTCCCCACCCCCATCTCTCTCTGGTGAACACACCTGCTATACAGCAAAAACAAAACAAAACAAACCAACAAACTATTCCAGCCAGATTTTATCAAAAATAATGACTCAAAACGTGCTTTCAATGCCAATTAACATAATTAACAGCTCAGAACATATGACCACACTATGATCATACTTAAGGGTCACGTAGTCACGTAGCATTACAGAATAGTTTTATCTGCTTAGGGGATAAGAAGAGGGTTTCTTTACCTCCAGAAAATTCTGCTATTACAATGATGAGATCTCAAATTCAAGCTGATTTATACTCTGTGATTCTGTTCCCAGCCTAAGAGCAGGATCAATGATAAAAAATAAAAGACTAGCTACAGCAGAGACTGACTCAAGTGAATTAGACTCAGTCTTTCAGGGATTCAGATGTTCCAGCCATAAAGTAATCACGCCCATCAGCCTTTCCACTAGAATTACTCAAGGAAGACTCTACATTTATTTATTTATTTATGTTTGGAGAGCTTTTTGCTATAGGACACGTGCACTCACCAGAAAGACAGAAAGACCAAGAGAGACAGAGAGACAGAAAGCGAGAAATCACCCCCCAGCGAGGATGGCCATGTCGCAATCCCTTCTCCTCCATTCTCCTCTTGGGGTCTTGGGCATGCATGCACACATGCCTGGTGTGAGTTTAAGCCACCAGGTCTGGGACTCGAACCGTGGTCAATTACATGAGAGTCCAGCGACATAGCCATTACGCCAACTGCTGGTCCCTCTATGACCTTTTAATACCCTGGGGAAATCTGGTTGATAGAAGCTAAATAACAGAGACAGATGAAGGGATATACATATGTGCATGCACAAGTGTTACTGTGTGCAATACGCACACATGTGTATGTACCATGTGCCCTATAGCAAAAAAGCATGTTCTTTCTCTCTCTCACCAGCAAGAGGCAGAGAGGAGAAAGGGGGCAGGGGTGAGAAATCACCCCCAGGGTGGATGGCCGTGCTGCGATCCCTTCTCCTCCCTTCTCTTCTCAGGATTTGGGGGACCCATGTACATGTACCCAGCATATTTTCCAGTCTTTCAGGTCTGGGATTTGAAGCACAGCTGGCCACATGGGATGCTGCCGCCTTAACCACCACATGACAAGCTAGCCCAAAAGCTTCAAGTGGCTCCTCATTGCAACTGGACTGAAACTTAAACTGCCTGGCTTCCTCTAGAGCCCAGCAACCGGATCAGTCTGGTTTCGTTCTCTCCCTGCTGCTTGCTACGCTCAAGTCATGCTGATGTTTTTTCCATTCCTCAAATGAGCTCATTTCATCACAGTCTTAGAGCCTTGGTGCACCCTGTTCCTTCTTCCTCCAGCCCTTCTCCATGGAGAGAAGACATCTTCTATACCAATCCAGGCATCAGCTAAACATCACTTGTGCAGAGAAGCCTTCTGGGACCTCCCAAGCCAAAGCAGGGCCCCCCAAAACTCCCTATCACTCTGACCGCTGTTATCACAGGACTTGACCGTACTCTCTGAACACATCGGTGCACTCAGGTACTTACTGGTTTTCTCTTCTCCCTAGAGCGTCAGCCCCTTTAGGGCACAGAGGACACCGTTCTTTGCTGTGGTTTGAACATGTCTCCCAGAAATTCATGTGTTGGGGCTTGATCACACTGACCATATCTTAAAAGTATTGGGTGAAAACTTACTTCCTTCATGGTGTTCCAGGGTGGGGTCTAGGAGGCAGTGATTGGTTCATAGCGATCATAAAAGGGAGGCAACAGTCTCATGAACAGATTGATAGATATCTCGCGAGATGCAATGAGTTTGAGCTCTCACGAAGAGGGGTTCGTCCTCACAAGAGCTGGTTATTATAAAAGAGGCCAGGATCTCTTCCTCTGCATGTACCTGCCATCCTCTGTGCTGCTGACAATGTTGTAGACCTGAGACTTTGAACTTCCCAGCCTCCAGAATTATGAGTTTGTAAATAAACCAGTATCTTCTTTATAAAATCACCTAGCCTTAAGGATTTCTGTTAGCAACATAAAAACCATCTAAGCTACCCTTGCTCAGGGCTGGATCCCCAGAATCTGAAACATGATCTGACAAAGAGTACATGCTCAAGATATATGTGCTGAGTGAGTGAATGAATGGATGTCAAGATATTCAGAGACAGCAAATCTCAACAGTGAGTTTCATAAGCTCCTAAAAATTCAAAATTTAAAATGGCCACAAGAGAGGCAAAAGGTATGAGTGTTGTGGCCAGGAGCTGGAGAGTGTGTGGGAGCCAATGGGCAGCTACTATTTACCAGGTATGGGGCGCCAGTTCTACAACACGAGAAGAGTTTCAAAGATTAGTCATACAACAACGTGAATGTATTTGACACTACTGAGTGTACACATAAAGACAGTTAAAATGATAAACTTTATGTTACGTATATTTTACCACAGTTTAAAAAAGTGGCAAAAAGGCTTTGGTTTAATGTCATTTTTTTAAAAGGTGAAAACCCACAACATTAAAACCAAAGGCTGAAGAGGTGCTAACACCAGACCTTGAGAGATGACCATAAACGATAAGGCAAATGGAGCTGGACTAAGAAAACCATCCCAGGATTTGAAACACCAGAACCTTTCATAAGAGAGGTGGACAGACACTTCTTACTTGTCCTGCTGACTGACTCCTGCTTCAGAGACCTGGGCATTTTTAAAATTACACAAATAATAAATGTCCTTTAAGAGTTATTTAGGAAATCTTAATAAGCAAAGGAAAAAATTAGATCTGCTTGCCAAGGCAATCAAGACAGTGTTCTCTCCTTTACTCTCACACCTCAGCTCTGCCTCTTCCTCTCCTCCACACCACCATCACCCAATGATGATAACTCAGGACACAAGAAAGGCAGGGAGTCTGACTGAGCAGTGGTACACAGTATCCTGTGATAGACAAATAAAAGTAGCAATGCATGCTGGGGAGTGTAGTTTTCTGTGTACTCCATGGATTCAGAATACTAAAGAACGCAAAGGTAAGGCTAGGAGAAAAACCCACCTCAGGTCAGCCCAGCTGCTCTAAAACATGACTATGGATTGGCCAGGCTACTATAGCACAGTAGAACCTAAGTGCTTGGAAGGCTGGAGGCCATGGGTTTAGATCCCCAGGTCAATGTGAAAACACGTTGGACATGTATGTGAGTGCCTAGAATCCTGAGAAGCTGGAGGGCAGGGGAAAGGGTGTCATGGATGGACAAGACCCTGTGGAGTGTGCCGTGCTTCTTTCTTTCTCTCTTTCTCATGCATGCATAATTACAAAAAAATTTTTTAATTAAAAAAAAGAGTATGGATTTAAGAATCCAGCTCAACCCATCTTATTTGAAGATGAAGAAGAAAAATGTTAACATAAAGTGAGTAAAAAGGATTCTACAGTAGTCCCTCCATAGCCACAGCTCAGTTTTCTGCCATCTCAGTTATTCAGGATCAATTGCAGTTCAAAAATAGGCAATCGTGAGACCAGCAGTTGGCATAATGGCTATGTCGCTAGACTCCCATGTAGTCGACCGCAGTTCGAGTCCCAGACCCAGTGGCTTAAACTCACACTAGGCGTGTGTGCGTGTGTGCCCAAGATCCCGAGAGAAGAATGGAGGAGAAGGGACTGCAGTGTGGCCATCCCTCCTGGGGGGTGATTTCTCACTTTCTGTCACTCTGTCTCTCTCTGTCTTCGTGGTGAGCTCACATGCCCTATAGCAAAAAATCTCTCCAAAAAAAAAATAATAAATAAGCAATTGTGGCTAGTATGATATGATCTTTTGAGAGAGAGCTGGATGGTGGCACAAGAAAACACGGTGTTCTGGAAGGCAACTCCACAGGGAAGGGTTCCCAGTAAAAGAATGCCAACATACTCTTGCCTGGGATCTCAGGGGGACTGAAGGTCGCCAGAGGGTCACAGTGTCGGGACCCTATTGGGGATGCTATCCCTCTCTCTCAATTACGGAGGAAATAATTTTTTAAAGACATTTTGAGAAAGATCACATCCACATAACTTTTATTAAGTATATTGTTGTAAGTGTTCTTTTCTTAATTTTTTTTATAGATATATA